CTCGTGGCCTCGTTAATGCACTACTTTGAGCAAGAAAGGGACAACAACGGGCCTTTGTTGCCTTTAAATGCTGTTCAAGAGGTAGGTTACTAATAATTATATGTAATGTATATTAATAATAGTGAAATTTTATTTCATTTTTTGTAGCGTGTTGCTGTTGCTTTAAAAATTAGTTTAAGGACAGTTAGTCGTATTTCCGAGGGTGTGAAAAGTGATGCAAATTTAGAATCGCCCAAGAAAAAGCGGAGTTATATTAAACGTGTAACCAACACAGCGACATTGGATACAAGTGCCATTCGAGAAGTGATCTATAATATGTATCACAAAAGTAAGATCTTATTATAATAACTTATCAGAAATTTGCATTAATTTGTTAACTAAATTATAATGTCATATTACACATGGTTTCAGAAGAACAAGTTACGATACAAACTTTATGGTCTCGATTAAGAGATAGGGCATTATTTGATGGTAGTGCCACGTCTTTTAGGCGGTTGCTTAGAGATCTTGGATTTAAGTGGCTTAAGGACAATCCGCGACGAAGGCTCATGGAACTACCAAGTATAGCTTTGAAAAGGGTGGAATTTCTAAGGCAATACAATCAAGCCAACGTTGAGGCCTTATACCAGTTTGTCTTCCTCGATGAAACTTGGATATTTCAAAATGGGACCATAGGTCGCTCTTGGCAAAATGGAAACCAGAAAAGCGTGAAAGCTATTAAAACAGATGGTAAAAGGTATGTACTTTTACACAATTTGCACTATAAAATTTAAAACTAATATATTTTAGATACATTATATTACATGCTGGAAATGAAAATGGGTTTATTGAGGGTAGTGAAGCGATATTTTCTTCGAAAACAAAATTGAGCGATTACCATGGATATATGAACCAGGACAATTTTTTGAAATGGTTTCAACATCAGTTATTAGAAAAATTGGAGAGTCCATCTATGATTATACTGGATAACGCCCCTTATCACAGCATGATATTGAACAAAGTGCAAAACAATGCATGGACAAAAAAAAATATCCAAGACTGGTTGCCAAATCAAAACATACCATTTTTAAACACAATGTTTAAAACAGAGCTATTGAGTATTGTTGCTCGGTACATAATGCTTCTTAATTATATATATTTTGGTCGACAGTTTATACATATATTTCTTTTGTTTATTCCTATTCTTAAAATAACTGCTTTTTTAGAAACAAACCACCTAAAATATACGTGATTGATGAATTGGCGGAACAACATGGGCACAAAGTTCTTCGTCTGCCTCCTTACCATTGTATATTTAACCCTATTGAGTTAATTTGGGGCATAGCAAAAGGTTACTATAACAGACATATTGGTAGAGATGGTAACAGTGAAAAAGACTGTTTGGATATGTGGAACGAGGCTCTACAAACGGTTACCCCAGACATGTGGAAAAATAGTGTTCGACATACTGAGCAAGAAATTTTTAAATGGTATGAAAGAGGACGAATTTTTGATCGACCAGGCATCGAACCTTTAATAATCGACTTTGAGAGTGATGAAGATTCAGATTCAGACAGCGCTGAAGAAAGAAACTCCGACTAACTTTATTGTACAGAAAAAGCTTACACAAGTAGCTTACCTAATTTTAGAATGCATTTTTCTGTATGAATTCTGTAAAATAAATACCATGCATAAAATTTGGAGGACCCCATTTGGATTTTTATTCAGTACCTTTAAGCTATCAATTAAATATGGTAGTTTCATAGTGTCATCTGATCAATATTTGTCATACTTAATGATTATGCAAGTACAGATCTATAATTTTATTATACTATTATTTTTGTTCTCATTTGAGGTTAATATTGCTTATAAACCTAGATATGTAAATAATAAATTTTATTATTTTACAAAAAGTTTGGCAACAATGTAAATTTTTCAACACACCCACCTTGATGACGTGCACGCCACTTTGTTTGGCGTTGACTATATGTGAATTGACATAAACATACCTTTGCCCAAAAGGTGATAGTTTGGAGATATATAGGGTGTCAAAGTTACAATGTTATTTTTATTTTTCCTTATCGCTTGAGAGGTATTTCAGGTGTTGGCATAAAACTCGGTAAAGGGAGGTTTTCTAGTATAAGAAACAAGAATCCGATATTCTTTACGGCGAAACTTCTAGTACTATTTCGGTAAATAACTTGGAATGATTATAGGTTTATTTTGAGTAGTAATAACCATTTGGATTTTAGGCAGTTTTGCTCCAAATATGGGCCGACATATTGGAGCTCCCAGAACTGTACGTACAGCTGAAATTGCAGAAAATGTTGCAGATGCCGGCTTTGAAAATCTTACAGTTGGGGTTAGGAATGTAGTTCGATAATTTCAAGTTTCCAAATGTACGGGAAATGCCATTTCTCAAGAGCAACTGCTCCATCCATAGCAGTCGCAAACAGTACATGGTTTAAGCGCGGATGATGACCCGCAAGGGTAGAATTTTGGCACATGGTTCTCAAGGAAGTCTAACCACGACAATGGTTTTACTTCGTTAATATTATTTTCCGACGAAGCAGGATTTGGAAGGGATGGACCCATAAACTCGCATAATCTTCACATCTATGCAGACGAGAATCCTCTTGTAATAATACAAACCCGCCACCAAGTACAATTTCAAATTAATTTATGGGCAGGAATAATTGGTCAATATTTAATAAGACCCGTAACCTAGATTAAATGGACAAAGGTATTCACAATTTTTTGAAAAACGTTCACTGGAAGATCTTCCATTACAAACACGTATGAATATGTGGCTTATGCACGACGGCGTTCCACCTCATTTTAGCATATCAGAGAGCACCTAAATAGAGTTTATACAGATCAGTGGATAGGCCGAATCAGGTCCCGTATCGTGGCCGGCTAGATCACCAGATTTAAATGCTATGCATTTCTTCCTCTGGGGTGATTTAAAACGACGCGTTTACAATACGCTAGTGAACACTATAGATGATCTTCGGCAAAGAATTTTCAATCATAGCCAGGAAATGAAAAATAACATCCAAATGCACTGGAGAGTGCAGCAAGGACTAGTTCGTCGAGCTCGAGAATGTGTTAGGTAAGGTCGTGCTCATTTTGAACAATTTTTGTAGTTATTTCCGTTTATTAGTTTTGTTGCGATCCTCATTTGTTATTGTTTAAAACCGTTGCAACACTAATCAGATATTATCCAAAGCAAATCGATTATTATGTTGTAAAGACGTTTTATCATCATGGTACGATGCATTGGAACCTTTAAAAATAAATATCTCGAAAACCATTAGCTTCAGTCACTTGTAACAAGTAAGCTTTAAAAAATAATATTTTCCGGTCAGTTGTTGTATACAGGGTAGCACAAAAGAGTTATGATAATTTATTTACCGAAACAGAGCTGTGAGTGGCGCCCTCTTGAAGTTTCGTCATAAAAAATAACGTATTCTTGCTTCTCGTACTAAAAAACCTTCCTATACCGAGTTTTATTCTAAAATCTGAAATACTTCTTAAGCAATCAGGAATAATAGAAAATAAAATTGTAACTTTGACACCCTGCATCTCACAAACTATAAACTTTTGGAGTGTAGTATGCTCAGGTCAATTCACATATTCTGGTCTGTAGTATCTTCAGTTTCGAGATTTCTCAACCTATACAATGAGAAGGGTGCCCTTGATTTCTCAAAAAAACGGTTGTCATCGATTTCCCAACAGCGTGGCATCCGGGTTTTTTTGGGAGAGGGGGTAGAGACCCTTTACGAAACTACTGCTTGGATTCCGCTTTAGTCTCAGGATTCCAATGATGCAACTAAGTCTCGTCACCCCGGAGAGTCTCCGGCTACCGGTGTCCCACTCCTCCCTCGTTGGATACTCCACAATAAACTTGCAGTTGAACCGATATTTAGGGGTAATACGATCACCCCTACTTAGAAGGACGGAGTTCTCCCTTTGCAATAAGATGGCAGTATGCCCCTTGACAGGATTCAATAAGGCCCAGCGGCCCTGACTCCACAGTAGATGAGCGATTACTCTCGCTTCACCAGATCCAACGGTGGGAGATCCAACAGAGCTTCCATTGCACTCAATGACGTTGTACCCACTGCTCTTGTAATGCTAATACAGACCAAACGCCAAAGGGTCAGAATAGTTGTTCAAGTTTCCAAATGACTTCCTGAAATACATAACCAGCGCAAGAAAACACATCAGAAAAAAATGTTTCTGATTATGCATAAGTAGCAAAACAGAGGTATCTATCCAATATACTACTATTATATGAAATTATACAAAAAGCATGGTGATATTTTGGTATTTTTATTTTTTATTAACAACTTCAGTGTAGAAATCTGCACAAAGCATTTCCTAGAACAGTCCGATTATATTGAAGTTATATCCATATTGTTCTGCGAATACATCAAAATCTATTCATTCCTCGATTCAGCCATTCCAGGAAAAGTATTACAATTCGGACATATTGGCGGAAATGAACGACAATCAAAAACAACTAACAAACTGTTATTTGAAATTCTAGTATTTCAGAATCACAGTAATATCTCGCTTCATAATAAATGTAAGTTCGCGTACAGGGTACGTAGGATAAGTACTCTAACGGTTTTTAATGCGTTATTGAGTACCTATGGTCTTAGACCAAAACGGGAGAGAGTAGCAGAGCATATTGTACATCACTGCCAGCGTCACGACAGTCTTAAGCTGCGGCACTTGGTTCCACAAGAAGCTCGTGGTCTGCGGCTTAAGGGACCCCATGGCAGGACGAGATCCGCGGCCCTATTTTAAATACTATAGTTGACAGGCATTACGAGTATGTAGAATATTTATGTTCTAACCAATTTGTTACGTCGCCACATAGGGGTATTTGACCAATTTGGCTGGCCAAAAGTCATTTTCGTCAAATATCTTTTAGGTATAAATAAACAGCCTGTGTTAGTGCTCCGATAGTTGCTGCACATCATAGAAGCCCTTGCCCGCATACTCGCGATTACCGTCACTTGGCACAACAAGTCTAAACTTGTCCGTCGTTCATAGCGCATTCGTCCCTTATATCTATCAAGTGTGATCGTTAAGTTGGACATCGAATACTATTTACTGAGTGATTAATATTACGCAAATAATTATGGATCCTGAAAATAGAGGTAATACTGCATATTTTTTGAATCTTTTATATTATTTTTGTTGAAAGAAATTCATAAATAGCCTAGTGAAAGTATGTACTATTGTTCTTAAGTTTTATTTATTTATTTTTTGATTATCTAAGGAATTAGTTATACGTCAGGGTTCTTCCCGGTTGTATTTTTCATTGAAAGTTACTGAATAGACCTCTTGTAATACGACAATAAAGAAATCAGCTGCCTTTTTCTGCTCTTTTTCGTTATATTTACATTTTCTTGAAAGTAGTCGTACTTAGCGAATAGTGCAGCATTAAATGTACTCAGTTTCAATATAATTTTAATTTTACTTTAGATACTCCAGGTGGCTCAAACTACAGAGTAATATCTAGAAAAAGATACGATAAAATGCAGGAACAGAACCTACCGAATTTAGAAGAAAAATTAAATTATTTGGAAAATGGACTTTTAACACATGGTGATTATAGTCAAGAGCAAATAAGAGAGTTGAACCATAAATTTTCTTATATAAAAAGTGAATTTAAAAGATGGTCAAAAGGTAAGAGGCAAGAAGACAAATTCTTAAAAGAAAATGCTGATTGGCTGCAAGGAACATTCCAGATACCTAAATCTTCCCATGGACGTGTTGGTCGACCATTAAAACCATTTAGTGAGTTATCTGAGAGAAGTAGAAGGAGAAAAACAGAGCAACACTACGAAACACCGTAAGTAAAGAGGCTCTCGTTCAGGCTGCAAAGGTGAGTTTGCAGAGTTCTGGGAATAGAGACGCATCACAAGTTGTCACTGAATTAGTTAAGTCTCCAAAACGAGGTACTAAGTACAAAAAAGCTTATGCAACACATTTGCAAGTCAACGCAACACAACTTACACCTCTTCGTTCGTTATCAATGTTTGTGGAAGCGGATCTTTCCAGAAAACAGTACGAAGTAATACGAGATTCAAATAAGAAATATTACCCTTGTTATGCCATTTTGCAAAAGGAAAAGCGTTAAGTGCTATCCGCAAAAAGAGTCATATCATGTAAGTGAAACATGCGCCGAAATTGAACTGCAGCACTTGCTAAACCATACAGTAACACGACTTTTGATATATTTGCAAGAGGTCTTAACTAACCTTACACAAAAAGAACGTGACAGATTAGAGCTGATAACTAAATGGGGCTGCGATGGATCGCAGCAATCCCAGTTCAAGCAAAAAATGCAAAACAATGACGACACAGATTCCAATATTTTTCAAAGTTGCCTAGTTCCCCTTCAGTTAGTGTGTGGCAATCATCTCCAAGATACTGTCGTCCTATTAGGATCAGGTTTATAAAAGAGACTACTGATACTACAAACAATGAAATCAAATACATTCAAAATCAAATTGATGCATTAGAGAACAGCATATTTACGAGAGAAGGAATACCTGCGAGTGTAAAACATACCATGGCATTTACTATGGTAGATGGAAAGGTGTGCAACGCTGCCACACAGACAACGTCTACCATGAAATGTTATATCTGTGGAGCAACCAAAGCTTTTTAACGACATTTCCATTAAGAGAGATGTGGATAGTGACGCTTTATCATTTGGTTTGTCCAATTTGCATGCGAGAATCAGATTATTCGAAAGTATATTACACCTTTCTTACAAATTACCTGTAAAAAAATGGCAGTTAAGATCCGAAGCTGACAAGACTGTTGTTAAAGAAAGAAAAGTTGAAATACAAAAAGTATTTAGGGAAGAAACAGGCTTAATAGTAAATGTACCTAAAGCTAATTTTGGTAACACCAATGACGGCAACACCAGTCGACGATTTTTTGCCGAGCCACAAAAAGCAAGTGAAATCACTGGAGTTGATTTCAATTTAATTTATAGACTCAAAATAATTTTGGAAGTGATTTCAAGTGGCCACAAAGTCGATTTAAAAAAATTTGCTGACTATTGTTTTGAAACTGCAAAAATTTATATTTCTTTATATTCGTGGCATCCTATGACCCCAACAATGCACAAAATTCTTTTGCATGGGGCAACAGTTATGGAGAAAGCGTTATTGCCAATCGGGATGCTATCCGCAGAGGCCGCTGAAGCCCGCAACAAATATTTTAGGATGTACCGAAATAGCTTTGCACGAAAATTTTCAAGAGTAGAGTGCAATCTTGACATCTTGAATAGACTTTTGTTAAGTTCCGACCCATTAATAACCAGCCTAAGACCGACAATACCAAAATCATCAAAACCTTTTTCGAAAGAAGCTATTGAAATGTTGATTCCAGCCGATATAAACACAAATATGGATAATTCAGACTCAGAAGAGCTTACAGACAAAGAAGAGAATGAATCAGGCGACGAACCATGCCCCTAATCATGGTCTAGTTAATTATATTGTTTTAATTGAACTTAAATAAAGTGTTTCTCGCAAATAAAAAAATATCTGCACTCAATTGTTTGTTTTTTAAAACTTGTCAGACACAAGTTATTTATCTCAACATAAAATAACATAAGAAACCTTAAAATTTCATAATAGAGGGAAAAATAATTTTGGCCAGCCAGATCGGTGAAATACCCGTATGTGGCGTCGTCCAGATGAGATACAAGCGCTGATGGCGAACCCTATGTTTTTCGTATTTTTAGGAGTTCTGGAAAGGTCACTGATATTTGTCAGCAGAGTGGATTTTGTGCACATACTCGACAGCACATTCACAGCACAATTATCAGGAGTATAGTGAGAGCTGACCAGGTGTGCGGCTCAATCGCAGATAGCAACAGAACTAGCGGTACAGGTTTTGTATGTGAACGACTGTTTTGAACTAGAATAGAGTCTTTGAAACATTTTTTTTTCAGAAAAATACTTCGAAAGCTTTCAAGTTAGTAATAGGATTTTAATCGAATATGTCAATGATGAAAAATTTCTTAACCACTTTTACCAATTTGCCAACGATAGGAATCCTAATGTTTCTGTATTTCAGGCGTTTCTGATTATTATTGAGCATAAAAGTCGTTTTTTGAGAATTCTACTTCTGGTGAGTTCAGAATATACTCTTATATTCCGATAGGCCTTATACACTGAATAGAGTAGAGTCGCTTGGTATTCATTCATTGCCCAACGAGACAAAGCCCTACACCATGCTACAGAGTTGCCAAATAGCACAAAACGTCCATCCGTGGTTATCCGTTTGTGGTAAGAGGAACCAAGGCTGTACTACTAGTTTGTTATGATCTTCATAGCTCCATATACAAGTATATCGCTAACAAGGCTTAGAATTTCAGTGTACTTAGATGTCCTAGTGAGAATTTCTCAGGTTCTAAATGATTATTAATTGGAGAGAAATTATTATTATTGATGAATCGTTGATTATTACATGGTGAGTTTCCATCAAAATTAAAGTGTTCCACCATTACTCCTGTGCCAAAAGTTCAACATTTTGAGCTGTATACAAATATGCGACCGATCAATATCTTGCCAGATGTCGAGAAGCTGTTCGAAGGAATAATATTCGAATACATTATCGAATTCATTGAAGAAAACAAAATTTTGATAAGAAATCAAGCTGGATTTACAAAAAATATTCTACAGAAGCAGCAATCTAAATGGTGGTGGAAGACTGGTGAAGAAGTATAGATAGGAAAGGATGTATTGTAACAGTATTTCTGGATTTTAAAAGGTATCGATCCTAAACGGATTCAACACAATTCACAATTCAAGAATGTGTACGCTCTAAATAGAACCACTACTTGGGCGTAGAGAATGAACTGACGCATATTTTCGATATGCATCCTAATTCAAGGAACTGTGTAACGTATTGGCAAATTGCCGCGTTAGCGCTGCTAGGCAACACAGCGATGAGCTTCGCTATCCAGCCGGCTTCTTTCTCTTTCCAACATATGTGTCTATAGACACTTCCCTCTCGCACACATTAAACTCAAGTCGTCAGACAAGTTTGGTTCTCAGTGTTACACAAAGTATGAATCCGTACGCCCTCGTATTGCAGATCAGTATTTATTTCATTTTTCCGAATTGTATTTTAAGCTTCTGTGCACAAGCAGATAACAGGAAATGTCCTAATGAACTTATTTTGAGAAAAATGCAATTGGAAGTTTGGAAGTAATATTATTTTTACTGTATGCAGTAACTTTTACTTAGAACTAATTAAATGTTTTATATCTAATATAATTTTGTTGTTGACATTGGATCTTTTAATTATTAAACATATTTAAATTGAGCAAAAACCAAATGAAACATTTTGAAACAAGTAAAGAATCAAGGAATGTCCAATTCAGTTATCAGAATCTTTGGTTTTGAGTCATATTTTAGTTTCCCACTGTCTTTTAAACTGTAATGACTCAGTCTTCCTTTAAATGAGTTAATATGATTAAAATCTTTTTCCTTAATCTTTCATGGAATCTTTTGGCGATTGTCATGGTTTCTTCCTAGATCTACTGGAGTTTTCCCTGTTGTTTTTATGATTTTATCTAGATAGTAGGTCTTTTCTGTCGTAACATTATTGTTGATTGATCACACTATAAATATTTATAAGCCCTGACAAATATAAGTTCTCTTCACTGACACTACCCAATCAATTGAAATATTCAACAATATTTCTTTATTTAAATTTATATTTTCAAAACTTTTGAACGTTGAAGAATTACACGATGCCCCTTATTTGTGAAAAATAGTCGCAACTTGTTCATTAAATTTTCGGTTCCACCGGTTTTCTTTCTTTTCTTTGTTGATTTGTTAATAATACTCTGATTCTCTGATTATTTTAATCATTATCTGAATTAGAAAACATATTCAACTTCAAATTATTATATCGCAAACCTTATATAAAATCTCAAAATTACAAATATCATTTTAGACAATCCTTATTCTTTGCCTGTATGACATGGACATTCCTAGCTCTTTTTTTTTTCGGTCGTAGACAAAAATGTCTTTTTGACGCTGTCTATTTACTTATTTTAAAGGCTAACGATTAGGCATTAAATCATCACATACCAGGATATGCTTCGAATGGGAAACTAAAAAAATAACCTAGTACGGTCATACTGGAAGCCTCAGCTTTTGTTTGGATCCAGTTTGGAAAACTGATGAAAATTTTTCAAAATTTCCTAATTAAACAGCGATTATGAAAACGCACAAGGACCCTTAAGGATAACTGTTTGCACAACAGTGGGCGTCAAAATGCTGCTGCTGATGATTTACCTTTACAGCAAATGCTCAAACTGTTTTCCTTCAGCCGCAATACACGCTCGAGATCTTCTTAAAAAAGATCGGGTTATTAAACGAGCGAATCCACGGTTATTAACAAACTCAGCTGCTTCCAATAGTCTTTGCCGTAGCTCAGCTACATTTTGAATCGGCTTGAAATACACTTCTTCTTTTACAGTTCCCCAGTAAAAAAATCTAAAGGATTCAAATCAGGTGATCGGGCTGGCCACGGTATTGTACCAGAACGCCTTATCCATCTGCCTGGAAAGTTTTGAGAGTGCATAGTGCGCTGGGCAGCCATCATGCTGAAACCACATGTCCCTGTAAATACTCAGTGGCACGTCCTCCAATAAATTTTCTAAATGATTTTGCAAAAACCTAAATAAACATCAGCGGTCAAAGTCTCTGGGAACTCAAACGGATCGATTATTTTACCATTTAAAATTCCTGTCCAATGGTTTATCTTGAAGCGATATTGAGATTTATCTTCTCTCATCAAATGTGGGTTTGCTACGTGCCACTCGTGTAAGT